TCTTTAAAAGCGGCAACGAAATATCCGTCTTCAGGTTTCTGGTTGAGTTCATTGAAATAATTAATTATTATTAATTCTGAATGCTGAATATTTTGAAAAATAATTTGATATTTTTCAAATGTTAAAATTTCCGTAACAGGTAAAAAGGAAAATTCTTTTCTTTTTATGTAGTTGTCCAGCCCACTGTTTTTGATTCGAATATCTTTTTCTCTTAATTTTTGAAGAAATAGCATATTTCTGTATCAAAAATCCAAATAAAAAAAATGTGCCACTTTTTTGATTGAACTTTTTGAAAAGATGCAAATATAATAAATAATTTCTTTGTTTAATAAATAATTTCTTTGTTTAATAGTATTTTATTAAGTTCATATAAAATAAAATTGATTTTTCTAAAGATTTATGTCTTTTTTTATCATTGATTGAATCAATTTATCTTTTAATATTATTTATTGAATAAATATTATTTATTCGATACATATAAAATGATAATCAGATCATTTTAAAAAAAATAGATCTGGATAAATATTTTATCATCAACAAATTGATAAATTAGAAGATTAATTCTCGAATGATAGAAAATATTACCAATATAAAATATATCATTTATAATCAATTATTTTCAAAGAAATGAATAATGAAATCTTGATTGAGTTAAAGAATGCTAAAAAAATTTTCAGCACAATAAATCCTAATAAATAAAATATATTTTTTTGATGAACAGTACAACATTTTTGATTTTTAAATTAATAAAACAACTAATAAAAAATGAAATTTTTGAACATGAAAATGAATTTTGATATGGCACAAATTTTATGAAAGATTTTTTTTTTCATATTCATGTTCAAAAAATATCCTACCAAAAATATGTTTTATTTTTAATGGTGAGTATATTAAAATCTTACAAAATTTCATCCAAAATTATTGAATATTTTTGTGCCATTATAGCTTTGCCATACAAATTTTAGCAAACATGAATAAAAATTGTAAAACCTAAGGTTGAGATCAGTTTGCATTACATATTGAAGGTTCATTAAAAGCATGAATTTATGAAATGTTTTTTAGAGAATCAATTATATTCATTATAAGAGTAAAAGCTAAACTTTATTAAAAGTACGCGTTTTTCAAATATTTGAATAGTTTATATAAACTTTTTAAGAGATTTTATATATTTTTGATAAGAGGGAATTTGTAAACCTTTGAAAAAGAAAGAATATCTGTTTTAAAAAAAACGTATAACAAGGGATTTTCAGCCTTGTATCATGTTTAATAGATGTTTAAACAGGCGCAATCGGTGTTACATCATTAATAATGCATTATTCGCTCTATATTTAGATTTATAAAATAATAGATAGTAAGATGTAACGAATTAAAGCATTGAGGTAATCGGACTAGGCATCTCGTCTTCTATTTGCTTGGAATCGCTGGAATTTTATTTTTATATTTGAAAGGATGTGCTTAAAGTTTTTATTATTATCCTTTTTGTTCTTAATTTCGTTAATGATTTCTTTCTCCATTTTACTACTTTCTTCATCACTGACATCCATTAGAACTTTTAATTGATTCATCGAACTCTTGTTGATATTTTCTTGAATTGCTCCTTTGGGGACGTTAGATTTTAGAGAAATTACTGGTTTCTCACCAAAATTTCCAATAAGAGCCGTATCTTTAATTGTGGTTTCAAGCTTTCCTTGAACACTGTTTATATAAGTTTTATGGCTTTCTTCTATTTTATCATGTTCCAAATCTACAGATGAAAAAAAGTAAAATTTTGAAAATGGTCGAATCATCTTCATTATCTTCAAACCCAAGAAATCCTACATCTTCACCAAGAGCTTCTTCCAGCTTATCTGGATCAAGATTTTCAGGAGATGTGTTTATATTTACTGATATGTTTGGAACTAAATCTTGAACTATTTTCGGAACTGATACTTCGGTTTTATTTATTGATAATGAATCATGAGTTTGATTTCCAGTATCTTTATTTGTTTCAAAAGGAGTTTTAAATATATTAAGAACGAAATTCTTTTTTGTTTCTTGTATATATTCTCGTTTTGTCTTTTCATCAAGACCACCAAAAACTTTAGACTCATCATAATGTCGTTGGCATAAAAAAGTTCCATTCAAATATACAAAGTCATCTTTTTTGGCATCATCGGGAGGTTCGCAATCGCATTTTGAACATTTAATGCATTTTTTGTGGTATTGTATACTTGAATAAGTTACACAGTCATCAGGTTCTATTAGTTCCTGGCATTTTCCACAAAATTTAAGTGAAGAAGCATTGGCAATTATTTGATCGATCCTTTGTGACGTATTTCGAAGAGAATTTATTACGTTATTGAGTTGAGATGTTATTTATTGTAGATTTTCCATGTTGAAACAACCAACATTCTAAAATCCATTCAAATTTTGGAGAATTGGCACTTTTTTATTTTGAATTTGTTATTCACTTATTAAAAAAGGTGAATTCTCTCATTCATTTGTTTTTCCATTTCATGATTTGATTGTATGCATCACAATCGTAACACTCGATGGCGTTTTCACCTTCAAATTTCAAGCCATTCTTGGTAACGATTTCAAAAACATCTTTCACAAGACTTTCTGGATCCGATGATGAATATTTATCTTGTCCTCGCATTTCAAGACATGTGAAAAAAAAATCGATATCTTTTTCTTTGAACATCTTAGCGATTGATGAATAACCGTCATTCCAATTTGTGTTGTAATATCCTGCTGTTGCTTCTGCACTTCTTGCTTCATTCAAATATTTGAATTCCTGCAACTTTCCCTGAGATTTCTGTCGTTGGAAACACTTTTCGCGCCGTTCTCAAAACTTCTCGTCCATGTTCAATCAACTTTTGTGAGTTGGTACCAACTCAAGAAGAATTTTCCGTATTCTGTCTTGCATCCAGTCCTCCAGAATGCTGGGCCGCCTGGATACACATTGTAACCGTCACCAATATCATTCGGTGGCGATGTCCTGCTTCTTTCGCATCTTTGGCAAACATTTCTCTGAACATTTCATCATAACATTGGAGCAGTGTCGCCAATAATTCTACTGCTCTGATGGAAACTTAAGACAGGAAGAATTTTGAGATCAATTTTGTGCATAGCTTTGAAGAGTTGATCATAACCTTCCCATCGATACCTGTTGTCCTTCTTTTCAACAAGGCCCCACCAAACATCAATCACAACTCCATCAATTCTATCAATTATTTCTTAGTATATAGGACTTTGATATAAAGCAGTAATCACGTGATGTGAAAAATATTGATATATTTTGTATTTAAATAGCAGTTTTTTTTTCACTTCATGCGATTTCTCACAAAAAGTGGGTTTAAAAGAAAAACGACCACCTAAATTACCAAAAAAATGGCTTTAATTTTGGGAAGTCACATCTCTTTTAAATTCATTCTTTGAGTGAACTAGGATGCATTCTTGGTGTTTGAGGCGTAAAACTATCTCCAATGCAAGCAAACTAAGAAATTCCAAGTAGCATTTTGTTGATTACATTTTAAAATTTTATTTTACCTTTAGGTGAATATTATCTTTCAAAAAAAGTTTCACATCATGTTATTTCTGCTTTATTTATCATCATATTATCAATATTCAATGAATTATAAAACTAAATTGAATACATTTTATATCTTCTATCTTTACAAATTATTCATCTCAACTATTACAAAAAAGTGACCAATCCTCTTCTCGAATTTTTTTTCGAATGGTCAATTTTTATTTCAAAATATTATAAACATCTCAATTATTTGAATTCATTTCAATCAAATATTTTACAACTTAAATCGCATAAATTAAATCATTTAATACAATAAAATATAATGCTGTTATTTTAGATTAATATACTTAGATTAAATAAAAAAATCATTTTGAACGATAATTAAAACTTTATAAGCACATTACAAATAATAAATGTATTAAAATCAATTATATATTTTATAAAATATTTTTTTTTAACATTAAAGTAGGGTTTTTAATAACCGATTTTTAATTGAAAATATAATTTGTAAAATATACAAAATCAATTTTATATATTATTGAATATTTTAATTTGTACTAGCTTATTACATTTAAATATAAATTATTAATATTACTAATATAATATTTGAAATAATTTGAAAATATTATGGAAAATTATATCAATTGAACAAATTTTGCAAAACTTATTTCTTATCTGAATTAAATATTAATATTTATTTTATAGCTATTATATTCCAACAATACATATGAGTTGATAAATCTGTGCTAAAATTTAAAAATCTCTTTTTTAATAGAAGCAATCGAAAAAATAAGAAGCATTTCTTAATTTTACTATAATTTAATGTATAATAAGATTTTTAACTCATCTATATCATACATGTGTACTCATTATATAGTAATAAAACTGTTTTATACATAAAATATCAAACTTGGAATAAATTAAAGAATTAAATAATTATAATAAAAGCTAAAAATCTGAAGTAAATATGTAAAATGAATAAAAATGGTCTTAATATATCATTATTTTGAGGTTGATTAGAAAACTATAGGTTAGTGAAAATTAATATAATAATCTTAATAATAGCCATATTTCTTTTTTTTTTCACTCAAAAAGATATCATATATCATTTCCACTTTGGAGTGAATAATATAATGGTAATAATGATATTATCTTAATTATTTACTGGAACGTTTTAGAAGGCATTTACATTCCCCTCTCAAATAATTGAGTTTAATTTGAAAGGGGGATTCAAATTTCAGAATTTTTGAGCGGTTTCTCAAAACCTTAAATTAAAGAGATAAAAATGAAATTTCTATATCATTGAACAATTATGGTTGAGTTCAGAATTTGAGATTGAATGAATTGAAAATATTTTATTTTCAAATAATTACATACTAATATTTAAAATAAAGTTAAATGAACAAAAACAATAGTTTAGAAAGTTCTCAAAACCCTTTTTTTTTTTTTTTTTTTTTTTTGAATAGAAAAAAATAACACAAAAAAATGGGCAAGCCGTGAATCGAACACGGACCTCCTATACCACAGACATTTATGCTACCATTACACCACCTACCCTTTTGTTATAATTCCTTTTTAATCTCTTTTATTCTATTCAAATGCATACTCTACAAAAAGATCATATAATCAGGATACTGGATTAACATTTTTATTTATTTAGAGCAATATACACATATTTTCCAATATATTTAAACACAGAAATTCAATAAAACAAACTTACTTTAATAAAATAAATTTTTTTTTTTTTTCATTTTTTTAATCAAATCAGTGAAGAGTATTTAATTGGCTGTAAACCCTTGATCTTGGTCATTTGTTAACAATATTTTTTCGATTTGATGAATCATGCTGGCTTTTTTCTTCTTTTGAACAACGACAATGAGAATAATTATGACAACGATGACCACTACTGCAACAATTCCAACAATTAAACCAATACTTGCTGAAACTTTTTGGGTATTTTCAGAATAATCTGATTGTACACTAGCCTTCAATTCCAAGTTTGATGTGTCAATTGTGAATTTGGATTTATCATATGTGACAACAACAGATGGCCATTTTGATTTGCTGATTGAATCAAAGCCTGTTGATTCAATAATCACTTGGTTTTCACTTAAAACTAGAGGAAGTAAGGGTGCATAATCTCTTAATCCTTCATCAATAATGGTAATATTTATATCTGAATATTTGTCTAAATTAGTTGAAACTGCTTCAATGAAGATGTGGTTGGAATAACAAATAAGAGAAAATTTTTTGGCGATGAGATATGAAACACTCCAATTATATTCGTCGTTATTGAATTTCTCATCATAACCGATTTGTATTCCCCATGATTTTTCTAGGTATGAAATTCGATATTGAGGTATTTTGTGGATATTTTTATTGAAATCGAGAATTGAAAATTGATCAACATTTGTGAGAGGTATCTTATATAGGGAGTAGGTATTTGCATCAACGATAAAGTTTTTAGCGACAACGGTAGTCTTTTTTAGAGATGATAGCATTGAAGAAGTAATGAACACATTTTCACAATTAAGATCATTATAAAAAACAACTTTGAGATGAGAAATTGTCAAGAATGAAACTTTCTTTTTGATTGAACCATCGATTATAACTTCAATTAATTTATCTTTGTCATCATTTTCTGATACTAAATGAGAAAATTTCATATTATTATCTAATTCAGTAATAAAAGAAGATTTCATTATTTTCTTGCTTAATTCAAATATTAAATGCTTGATATTGTCGATTTTGTTTTCGTTATTCAAAAGGTTACTTGTAAAGCTAATTGGTAACATAATAACAGACATTTTGTTTTTCAAATTTTTGAAATCAACATTTGTATGCCTCGTGTGTACAGCATAAATCAGATATTCGGTTTTTTTGGAAACTTCTGAAAGATCTTCATTTACATCTTTACCATTTGACAAAACAATACTAGAAATTGATTTAACAAATCTTCTACATCGTTTAGTTTCATTCATTCCATAACGAGATTGACACATTTTCATCATATTTTCTTTATCATCAATCCAATCTTCGAAAAGATCCATATCTATATGAGTAAATACATCACTTACAATAAAGTAACTTATTTTTGGGAAATTATCATTTTCTGCTAATATTAGAATTGGTAACAAAAGGACTAGCATATTTTTAAAAATAAAAAAAATAAAATATCATATTTTTATATACATCAATTAATATTCAAATACATCTGATAATTTAAATGTAAATATTGTTAATATAACTTAAGTTTTATATTTAATAAAATATTAAATAATTTTAAATATTATATGAAAATATAAAGAAAATATAAAAAAAATATAATATAATAAAAAAAATAAATATTAAAAAATATATAATTGATTTTTCTTTTCATTTCAATTTTTTTTCTTACAATTTTCTTTAGAATAAACTATTGAATAAAACGCTGTAAAATATTTGAATAAAAATTTTCAGAGAATAAAAAGTATGATAACAATTTTGAATTATATTTATACAAATAAAATTTTTTAAAAATCCGTAAATATATAATTTATATAACATTAAATTCAACAAATTGGAATTGAAATTAACCTGTAAAATGAAAAAATATATATAAATTAAAAAATATTTATTTTCTTCAACATTAAGTTAATTAAATATTCTAATTATTGCATGATGAAGAGTTAATTAAGCATGATAGGTTTTTATATCTAAAATTTTTATAAAAAAACTTCAAATTATATCACTTTCTCTAAAATCATCAAAACCTTAATAATTGTAACGAGAAAATATCCTTTTAAATTTACTAAAGAATTTTTCTCTGTAAATATTTTCATCGTCTATATCTCTTGGCACTATAATAGTTTTCTTTATATAACCATAATAAATTTGGTGGAGGAGTTGTTTGCCCACAATACTTTGGCACTTCATCGAATTTAGGGTTTATTTTTAATATATTAGACTTATTTTTAGGCAAAGAGTTTTGAAAATGAATTATCAATTAAAATCTTTTTTAAAAAAGAATATGAAAAGTAAACTTTAAAACAATACTTTGCTTTGTGCTTAAAACTTTCATCGTGTATAAAGAACTAATATATAGAAAAAGAACTAATATATAGAAAAATAAATACTAAATATTGAGTTATTTATAGATGAATTTTTAAATTGATTTAGATAACTTTTTGAAAAAAAAAAAAAAAAAACGGATTTGTGTTAAAATTTTCAGACAAAACAATGATCCAAGAAGAAGCATCGACCAGTACGGAAAGAAAGTCAGAAATACTTGAAGAATTTTCATATATGCAGAATAAGGTTGAAGAGATGCAAAGACAACTGGATCAATTTACTAATATCCTATATAAAGAAATTCCAAATTTGAAAGATCAAATAAAATTATTAAATAGTAAAATTGGCGATACAAACACAAAAAGTGGAAGAAATTGATAGCCAGTTCACTGAAAAATTTGATGAAATTGAGAGCAACATAGATCTAAAAGTCAATGAAATCAAAAGAAGTCTCACTGCAAAAATTGAAGAAAGCAAAATTACAGAAAAAGTGGAAATTATTGAGAGCCAGCTTACAGAAAAAGTTGATGAAATTGAACGCGAATTTACAGAAAAAGTGAATAATATTGAGAGCCAATTTACAGAAAAAGTGGAAAAAAGAAAATTGGACCAAATAATCAAAAAGCTTGAATCAAAGTTCTCTCAAAAAGTTGAAGAAATTGAATTGAGTCACAACCTGATTGCGACCTCGCAGAAAAAGATCATTGATAACGCAAGCAGCCAGAAATCCCACTTTTCTCAACTTCAAACAGACCTCTCTCAATTAGCCCACTCAATTGCGCAAGTCAAAGAATGTCTCGACATGATTGAGTCTGACGGGAACCTTTTCAAGCCATCCGAACTGCCAGAAAAAGACAGAAAAATGATCAAGTCAGTCTCTCAAAGAACTGATCACGTCACTTCATCACAAGAAGAAATACGGGCCTCACTTAGCTGATCATGTTGGAGTGCTCGCTAAGTGACTCCAATATTGTATTTTCAGTGATAGTCAATCTGGATAATGAAGGAAAAGTTCGTAATTCATTCATGTGAGTATTCTTAACCATTCCTTGTTGAATTTCAATTGATTTCACTTCTGTTACAGAATATAATTCAGCGGCACTTGCAAGTGATGAACTTTGGACGGATTGTTGTTCATTTATTGAGACTGTCAAATAAAGTTGAACCAAATCAATTCCACACCATTTAAGATCATCTTTAACATCACTTACAAATTCATCCTCATTTTCCATATCTCTATAAATCTTTTATCATAAGTTTTATTACTCTCATTATTTTCATTAATATGTTTAGTCATACAAATCTCTTCGTCATTTGGTGTTATGGCTGAAAAGTCTAATAATAACATCTACTTCATAAGATTCAGCAATTATATATATATATATATATATATATATAAAATTAATCAACTAGCCTTTCTATTTGATTTTTTTTTCGAACAAAGTTTCAGATCAAAAACGTTTTCAAGACAAGACCTGTTCGACTTGTATTAAACTTTTATTTTTGTAGATCAAGAATCCTACCTGTAATACTTTGTAAAAAATAAAACACTATCTTTATAAGCCAATATATATAAACGTTCTCTTATGTAATTATTATATCTTTACTCTTAACTTATTTCATAAGTTTGTAGAAATATCTTCTTTCCAAATGCGTTTATAAATATGTCTTATACTTTCATTGTTAAATGTATTTTTTTATTAAATACAAGCTGTGGTTTTCCTTCTAATTAATATAATAGTGGTTCTCAAAAAAAAAAAAAATAATTTAATAGTTTTTTAATATTGCTTTTGATCATTTTTCACTAATAATTTAAATAAGTTAATGTTAAATATAGGTTTTGAATGAAAACTTAGGTTGCCTGTAGGAACATCTTCAGCTTCATCATTCAGAGAGATTGACTCACAGAAAAAACACGAAAAAATATTCAAATTTAAAAACATCAGAAGGCGAAACGATCTTCTGCGGAGACAACGATGACGGAGAGTTCTTCATTCCACAGGAAGGCATTGTTTATCAGCCAGAGGAAGTTCAATATCAATCGTGCTTTTGGGCATCGATCAAAGAGGAAGCGTTGGGAACAAGAAAATCATCGACAGAATTGATGGAATTTCGAAAGAGTAGAAAAAAAAAAAATAATGTTGTTATGCATAAATTTTCTGAGAGAATCCATACATTATTTAGATTCTTTTGATTTAAAAAATCAGCTTAATAAGAAAAATAATATTGTTATGCATAAACTTTAGAAACCATTTTTGAACCAATATATATGTATGATACAAATTTTTATTAAAAACAAAATAAAATTGAAATAGAATATTTATAACAAGTACTACGATAATCACATAAATGAATTTGATTTATTTCTACCAACGATTTTTTTAATTCTATGCTTTTATAAAATAATCACTTTTTGAGAAAATTCTTGGCACCATCTTTATATGAAAAAGTGAACAGCCAAAATTTTAAAATTTTTATTTTAGAATAAAAATATATAATTAAATAAA